TTAAATTAAAATGAATTGGATACTGGCATCACATAGAAATATTGTTTTTATAGGTTTCTCAAAGTAAGATGTATTAAAGAAGACATATCGAGTTTCCAGGGCTTGCGTTGCTATAGCAACCAGTTGAGGCCTAGTTTGGAGAATGGGAATTGGGGGCTAACAAGAGACTACCAGATATGTTTTCCTCAACCATAAAAGTTCTGAGTGAATTAGATTCCCACTGTCTTTGTGGTTTTCAGATGTAGAACAAGCAGAAAATAGGTAGGTGGGAAAATTCAGGTATAGGTTCTTGCACTGAACAAGGCAGAGAGTAAGTTACAAGTGAGCACAAAACTACCCCAATGTGCTTCACAGAATCATCAAATGTTAGAGTCTGGAACACATGAGGAAGTTGAGGCTCAGAGAGGTTAAGTGACCTACCTAGCAAGCAATGGCAGATCTGGTACAGGAAAAAAAATATCTTGCATCTCCGCTAAATAATGCAATTGTGTCCCAAACGCAGACAGAAATTTACAATAACACACAAACATAATCGTATTTCAGCACAGTAAAAACCATCTAACGTAGGAAGTAGAAGCTAGAGGTGGAATTACTTGCTGCACTTACCTTTAACCTTTGTGGAGATGCCCAGTGCAGTAGGAAAGGAACAACGATCACTTTCATCCTCTTCAATGAGTCTCACTATGGGCCCCGGAGCTCGTGAAAGTGTTTTCACTAATTAGATCAGTATGATAACAGTGAGGAAATTTATTTCCACTCTACCATCAAGCTAGAAGCTTGCCCACACCAAATCCACAACAGGAATGTTCTAATTCTCTTTAACTCCATCATTTGCTTATGACCCTTTATGGAATTCTGTGCTTAGAACTGCATGTCTAGTCTAATACTCTCCAATTGGAACATAATGCAAGCAATAAATGAAAGGGACATATGTAATTTTTAAGACCCTGTTAGCCGCATTTTATAAAAAGTAAAAATAAGCAGGTAAATTAATTTACATAAGCATATTTTACTTAATATATATAAAATATTATTCTAATATATAATTAATAAAAAACATGAATGAGCTATTTTACATTTTTATACAAGATGAAGAAATGTGGTATGCATATTACAGTTATAGTACATCTCAGCTGGACTAACCACATTTCAACAGCCCATTAGTCACATGTAGCAAGTGATTACTGTATTGGGCAGTGGGCATCTAGAGTTTAAGGTCATAATGCCTGTGAATCTTGAGAGGAAGAGGAAGAAAAAAATGAACTCTTTTTTTTGTTTGTTTTTTGAGACAAGGTCTGACTTTGCTTCCCAGGCTGGAGTGCAGTGGCAACATCTCAGCTCACCACAACCTCCGCTTCGCAGGCTCAAGCAATTCTCCTGCCTCTTGGCTCAGCATCCTGAGTAGCTGGGATTACAGGTGCACACCACTACTGCCTGGCTAATATTTCTGTAAATTTCTGGATTTTTTTTTTTTTTTTAGTAGAGACAGGGTTTCACCATGTTGGCCAGGTTAATCTTGAATTCCTGACCTCAAATGATTCATTCGCCTCAGCCTCCCAAAGTTCTGAGATTACAGGTGTGAGCCACCATACCTGGCCAAGATAAACTGTTCTTACACCCTAAAATTTCCCCACCCTACTGTAACATTATCTCTGCCAACTTTTTACATAAATGTTCTACTTCAAATCACAGAAGATAATTTATCATCTCATTAGTAGTTCTTCTTTATCTAATTTTATTACTTCTAAACTAAGTGTATGAAATACAAACCCAAAATTTTAAGTTTAAAATATAAATATGTGTGTATAGAGAGATATGTAGATTAATGTGTATGTGTAAATACATATATAAAGCTTAGTTTCATAAAATTTGGATTATTTACTTTTTGTTGCTTTTGCTTGCATAATAGGATAATTACCTTAGTTTTTATTCCATATCTTCTGTAGAACAAGGTGGACTATAAATAAATAATAACTTTATTTTTATATCTCATTTCCCCTGCAGTCACAGCATTAGCGTAAAACCTCTATCTACCGAATAAAATATTTCATCAGACCATGAATGACTTGTTTTATCAGAGGGAATACTTTTAGCCAAAACACGTTGTGACCTTCTGTTATTGAGCCATATATTAATAATATGAAAAGTGATAAAGAGAAAATTTGAATCAGTGGATAATAAATGTCTAACGCACTAGGCTCAGGCTGGCAGTCTCTCTCACCACCCGAGGCATGAGTGCAAGGGAAGGCAGTTTGTATTCTGTGCTAATCCTTTTTTTTAATGCCCAATTCCCCTCCTTTTTTTTTAACTGCCTCACATTTCAACACTTCCATATAACTAGCTAATCTGATAAACCCACACCTGTTTACGTGTCAATGGAAAAAGTTGAGAAAAGCCTATTTGTGGGCTATCTCCGTTTTCCTAGGTTCTAAGTGTCAAAAGATAGTTGAGAGTGTGTGTGTGTTTGTTTGTTGTGGAGCCATTTTCTTTGCTTTTGTGATCTAATAGAAAAATGGGAAGTGGACTAAGCACTGTGGCTCACGCCTGTAATCCCAGCACTTTGGAAGACCTGGGCGGGTAGACTACTTGAGCCTAGGAGTTTGATACCACCCTGGGGAACATGGTGAGATTCTGTCTTTGCAAAATATACAAAAATTAGCTGGTCATGGTGGTGCCCGCGTGTAGCTCCTACAACGTAGGAGGCTGAGGCCTGGGAAGTCAAGGCTGCAGTGAGCCTTACACCACTGCACTCTGGCCTGGGCAACAGAGTAAGACCCTGTCGCAGAAAGACAAACAAACAAACAAAAAACAAAAAAAACGGAAAAGAAAAAGAAAAAAGGGAAGTGCCTGTTTCTGGCTTTTGGCCTGGAGGCTGTGCTTCCCAGCCTGTGAGAATGGCCACCCTGCAGGCTGCAACCCTTTATAAGAAATAAAGCTCTTCTCTCCAAATTTATGAACCTCTTTGCTCTTCAGTTGATGCGATTAAAAAAAAAAAAGTGATGCTAAATGAAAACTTTACATCAAGAACAGAGAAAAGCTGCATTAAGATAGGCCATAAATGGAATGATTTAGGACAGCCTTGTTTTAGCACAGGGTGTGTGTGTGTATCTGTGTGTCCCTGCATGCATGTGTGTATGTGTGTTTGTGTATGTTTATGTCTAGTGTGGTCATTTCACCAAATATCTACCAGAATGTGAAATGTGACTTATTTTTATGTAGAATAAATATAAACTCTGAATCACTGTATTTAGCTTAGTTGCTAAGTATAAATTATTTCCTGTTTTTATCTGTTACTCATAAATATAAAATTAAAGGGGAATGTTTTGTAGTAATCTACAAATAATTTTGAAAATTAAAAAAAAATACAAATACTATGAGAGAAAGTTGTTTATTGGGATGTGGATCTACAGTTTCTCATAGAAGTAATTTTATAAGAGCACAATTGATAATAATGGTTACCATGCACAAAATTTCAACATACGTGTGGCATATTTTCTTTTTGTCATAACAATACTGCAGAGAAATTATTATTATCTCCATTTTATGAATGAGGAAAGTTAACATTACATGATTTTCTTAACGCTGTGTGACCGAACATTGGCAGAGTCAGCATTTAAAAGGAAGTCTCCCAGGTCTAACAGGTCTGTGTTTCGTCCACCAAACCAGAGGCTTCCTTGGGGTTGCAGTTCTACCCATACAATCTGATTTAATATCGCATCACTAAGTCATAATATTTATAAAATCATAGACCTTAAGCCAAGCGTATCAGATTTATTCTACATCAAACTCATTCTCAGTTGTAGCTACAGTGACAGAAACATGTCTACCCTTGATGCAATTCTGGCTATACATAAGTAACAGTGAAGAAAGGGGACATAGGAAGGGAAGAAAGGATATAACTGTTGTAGGAATGAAAGCAAATGTGGAATTCCAGTAGAATCAAAAATGGTAAGAGCATCTTCAGCTGTAGCGAGGAGGAACCTGGCCACCACGGCTGCAGCTTTACACACTAAGGGACTGTTCTTACTAAAGAGATCTTTGTAGGAAAATTGGCAATTAATTAGTCAGAAACTGCTTATGATTTCCTACTGTAAAAATGCACCAAATGACTTGCCACAAGCTTGAACTCACAATACTTGTTCATTCAGATCACTTCTCTGATTCAATAAAAATTGTAATTTAACTTCACAAAGCATTAGCTATTCAGCCCATTTTTCTACCAGAATAGAATCTTTTTCCTTGGGTCTCAGAAAGGCCAGGAACCATCTAGGTCAGTAGTTATCAACCTGGTAAGTACTTCCAAATTCTATAGCCTTCCCGACTCTTAGGGGATACTTCACTTGGGAAAAATACAGAATGGATCACAGAGATGCCAGGTGGGAGATACAGGCACGCTACCTAATGTTACAGTATCCTCAGACAACTAATACGCAAGATCTCATACCACTCCCATCAATTTCTCTGCTTGTTGAAAACACTGAACCAGTCATACCCTACTGTAGCCAAAGACCTGAACATCTAACTCAGTAAACCTCCCTGTGTTTTTACTTCCTGGTTTGTAAAATATGGATAATAGAATATATTCATAACATATAGTGGTAACTAATTAACATAAATAAAGTACAGATGGCCTGACTTATGATGGTTTGACTTAGGATTTTTCAGCTTTGTTATGGTGCAAAAGTGATATGCATTCAGTAGAAACTGTACTTTCAATTTTGATCTTTTCCTAAACTACCAATATGCCGTAGAATACTATCTTGTGATGCTCTGCAGCAGCAGTGAGCCACAGCTCCCAGCCATGTGATCCCAAGGATAAACAACATATCCTCTACAGCATGCTGTAGGCTAATGTGAGCGTTCTGAGTCTATTTAAGGTAGGTGAGGCTCAGATATGATGCTCAGTACGTTAGGTCTATTAAATGCACTTGCAACTTACAGTATTTTGAACTTACATCAGGATGTAACTCCATCATAAGTTGAGAAACATCTGTACTTAGAAGAGTATCGGACACATAGAAAGAGTGTTGTTGTTATCATTATTATTTTATGGTAAGAAACTGAGGGCTGGATAGTCCAAATGACTTATCTTTCTTAACTAAGGGCTCAGAATAAAATGCAGATTACCTAAGTTGAAATCTAGTGCTCTTTCATGACACCAGTCAACTCTCAAACTAAGGTTAATACATGGGTTTCTCATTTTCTTAGCCTGCTTGTAACTAATTGAAGTTATGCATTTAACAGGATTTTTTACCAGCATGACGGAAGTTAGATTATTGAACTACTTTAAGAAATTTAAACTATTATAGTTTGTACCTCATAATATTTTAGGAGCTTTTTGCTTAATAGAACAATTGAGAACATTAAAAGAGAGTAAGCCCCACATCGCTCAACTGATGCTACCATCCAGGACAGAAATCAGCTGCTTCCGCCTTTCTACCAACCAGCTTTGCATTAAATATTGCAAATGGGAGCGCTAGTCCACTGAACTCATGCAAGCATTCATTTATTTATCCACAAAAAGCAGAATACGGCAAAGGGAATTTGGGAGGGGTGAAATAAGGCTTGTCAGACTAACAGTGACAAATGGGATGCAATTGTTTTCCAAAAGCTTGGAGCAGAGAAGTCTTCCCTTGTCCCCTCCCCATACTCCCCACTGATTCCACCCTGCCTGCACACAGAGAAGGTGGTTAACAGAGGAAAGCCCCGTGAATAAGCTATGACAGCCCTACATTCAGAAACTGATGTCATTTCCCTAAATACTGTTTGTAAAATGGTAATTATCTGCCAAGCAATGACAGCTGGCACTTAGCATAGACACACAGAGAGACAGAAAAAGAGAGAATGAGAAAAAAGGGTCCTGCGTAATTTACCAAAGGGCTGAAAGAGAGAGGGAAACATAATCAGAAAAATAAAATGATTACCAGTGTGTGATGGGGTGAAAATTGCTTTGGGCATTTTTTTCTTTAGAGCGCACAGGATTGAATGGGATGAATGAAGCTGGAGCTCCATGATGCACACTGGAAGGGAGGAGGTTCAGGTGGCGGTGAAAGGAGGAATACACCAATGGTGCTGGGCTGTGGCAAAGGAGCAGGAAAACTGTGCACACCTAGCCCCTCAAACAGGAACCAGTCAGCCAGCGGATGCTTCATAATATATCCAAGATTGTTTCCTTCAGTTCATTTGAATTCAAGATATAATACAGTATGTACTCCTTGCCCACTTCCTTGTTATTTATGAGATGGTTGGTTTTATGTGTTAACTTGGCTAGGCTGTAGTGCTCAATTATCCAGTTACACATTAATCGAGGCGTTGCTGTAAAAGTGTTTTGTAGATGTGCTTAACACCTACAATCAGTTGGCTTTATGTTAAGGGGATGATCCTGGATGATCTCGGTGAGCCTGTTCTAATCAGCTCAAAGGCCTTAAGAACAGAACTGATGCTTCCCTGAGGAAGAAAAAATCTCCCTGGTGGACATCGGCTCCTGCCAAAGTCTTTCCAAATTGTCCTTCCAATGGCCTGTCCTGTGGATTTTGGACTTACCTAGTTAGCCCTCACAATCACATTAAAATTCCTTGCAACAAATCAATCTCTCTATCTCTCTCTCCACTCACATGCACATGCACACACAGGCACACGTGTGCTCACACACACACACACACACACACACTCCTATTTGTTCAGTTTCTCTGGTGGAAACCTGACTGTGAAATTTGTCAAGTACCTGTGCAGTAATTTGCTCAGCTAAGTGAATATGTTATGGTTAGATTTGTCATAATCCCCTCAAAATCTATAAGTTGAATTCTTAACCTCCAATACCTCAGATTATCACCTTATTTGAAAGTAGTATCATTGTAAATATAATTAATTAAGTTGAGGTCATTAGAATGGGTTCAAATCCTGTATGATGAGTGTCCTTATAAAAAGGGAAAGGTTGGACACCCACACACGCACACACACACACACAAAAGGAGAATGCCATGTGAAGATGAAGGCAGAGATCAGAGCAATGTTCTACAAGCCAAGGCACACCAGAGATCGTTAGCAAACCACAGGAAGAAAGAAGAGAGGCATAGAACAGATCCTCCCCCACAGCCCTCAGAAGGAACCAACCGTGCTGACACCTTTATCTTGGACATTAAGAATTACAGAAAGCTCCATTTCCTTACTGCTTTTGAAATACAAACTTATCCCTTTTTATACATAATGATTTTATTGACAATAGCTACCCAAGAAGAGGCCTGGATGATTAAACTGACAATCACAAAGATGTACAAATGTTCCAGAAATTTCTGAAAGTAGTTCTTTTAAATTCCTAGATTCTGGTCTCTTTTTGGATAACAGATGTTGTAGAACCCTCTATAACCATTCATCTCTCTATTTGTGCCCTCCTGGAGTGTAGCTCTTCAATCTTGTCTTACAGGAAAAGCTAACAATCACCACCTGGTGCCCCATCCCCTCTTCTAGCAAGTGAAGTTAATAGACATTCTGTAAAAGAAAAAGCAATGGCCAGGCATGGTGGTGCATGCCTGTAATCCCAGCTACTCAGAAGACTGAGTCATGAGAATCTCTTGAACCTGGGAGGTGGAAGTTGCAGTGAGCCGAGATCACGCCAGCCTGGGCAACAGAGCGAGACTCTGTCTCCATAGGTAGGTAGACAGACACAGATAGATAGATAGATAGATAGATAGATAGATAGAGATAGGTAGGTAGGTAGGTAGATAGAAAAGCAATGATTGTGCTCAATCTTCCACAAATAACTTGCAATCCAGCAGAACACAGAACCCAGGTCTTTTGATGCCAGTCACATCCAGTGGTCCATCCAAGACATTGTTTCTATGCAGTTGAGTTAGCAGGCCAGATAATTCCTCCCAGTGTTTCTTATCTAAATACAGATGTTTTTTTCTAAAATGCAGGGATGTGAATTGGATATATCATTCATCTTTTTGAGATGTAAGTTTCTTCATTTAAAAAATAAATGAATCTTTATTTAGTCTTGACATTTCAAACCAAGAGAATCAGCATCAGAAGAGTGAAAAGGTTAAAGTCCAGCTACTGTCAGTTTCTACGTACATCATATTGGCCAATTTACTTAACTTTACAAGGCTTCATTTTAAAAACGAGAAATGGAGTGATATCTCTTTCATTGAGTCATTACAGGGATGAAATGAAATAACATATGGAAACATGTTAGAAGCTTTAAAGTGGTCGAAAGAAGATAAAAATAAAGCAGTAAGGTCACATTCTGTAATCTTATGGTCTCCTTCCCCATCCCATATTGTAGAGGATAAGCATTACTGAATGTCCATTCAGCTTACATCAGACTTGTCTGGGAAAGTTTTAGTTTGCCTGGGGGCATTCAGATCATTATGCTTTTATAAGCTTCAAAGTCTGACCTAGCATGAAAATTAAGTATATGAAAAGTATTTCAGAGCCTTGTCTTTAATGGACAAATTTGGATATCACCATTATGTGCTTCTCAGCACTTACCAAATTTTTTCTTACCTCTTACTTATCTGGATTCCTTCACTACACTGTAAACACTTATGAAGTCAGAGTTATATTTTTGTCATTCCTATATTCTCAGCATCAGTCTCTAAAATTTTTTGAAATTTATTTTTTAATTGACAAGCAAAAATTATATGTATTTATGTGCACAACATGATGTTTTGAAATATGCATACTAAAGAATACTTGGATAAATATAGTCTTATTCAATTTTACTTTGGCTATAGTCACTTTCAATAAAAAGTTTAAAATTTAAAAAAGGCTGACAATATATTATTTAAACGTAATAAATAATATATATTTAAAATGAATCAATTACTAAAAATAGTTGACTATTATAAGTAAAAATACCTAAGTCTTTGAAAGTTTATTTGCTATGGGTGTATTAATTTACATAATTCCTCCATGTCTGGCAGAGCCCACTGATTATAAAGTAATTTACAGACATCAACTTTCTAGGCTGTGAAGGCTTTTGAAATTATAAGGAGGAGACAGTTGTGCCAAAATTGTGTGGTATCAAGCTGTCACAGTTTGAAATATAGTTATAGATTTCAGAATGTAAATGGTTGTCATCAGAACAAGATTACAAGTTACATGGGCTCTGAAAAACTTAGCTTATTTAACACTGAATCAATGACTTCACAACCAAACTGAGTTAAAACACTTTAGATTCTGAAAGAATGTGCTCTTTAAACTTAAAAAGCAGAATTTCAAAATATCCAGCGTGTTTGACAGGAGGTGACACAACAGGCCATTTTGAGGAACATTGCGTGTAGCCCAGTTTTTCTCAAATTTAATAATACTTTTCACATTTTTGCAACATTCACACAGTCTCGACTAATATTTTCCTTTAAATACATGCTTTTTAACATATTTACCATAATTGTAAAATTACATTACTGTTATATATAAAAAATAAGTATTACTTATTATAAATAAATAGGAAAAAAACTGTAAAAACAAAATAATAGCATTATCATCTGTTTGGATTCAGTTGAGACCTCTGAGCCTTAGTCCTGTACTGCAATTGTTTATTTTTTTTTCTTTTTAAAGAGCAATTTACCAAGTGTTTATAAAGGTGTTAAAGCCTTATTAGCACCAAACTTAAGACTCCTCTTGGTGTAATCAAATGGTTGAAGAGATGTGAAAAGAGAATAGCTTTTTCACCATGTGCTTCAGTGCTATGTGATACCATGCTCTGTCATGTCCTATTTCAAATTATTTCACATACCACTTTAAGCAAAACTTGAGTTACACATGAAGTGTTTGGAATTTTATAAGTTCAAATACATGTGTGCTTATTATATTTACTTGTTATGTAGAAGGTACAGAATTTAAACTGAAGAGGCAAACATGCAAATTTTTTTATACCTGAAGACAAAAGCAGGTTAATAACTAGTGTAGATGAGTGTAAGAGAAGAAAGGCATATCAGAGCAGAAAGAATTTTAGAGGTCATCTCTTCTAAGGATGGGCAAACTGAGACCCAAAAGTGTTTTCTTACTGATGGTCATAAAACTAAGAAGTACCCCAAGCAGAACTGAAACCCAATTTTTCTTGATGGTCCAGTTCATGTCACCAAGATGATCCTGTTTCATCTGCTCATGGTGAAGGCAGTTAATTTCATATAATTTTATACTCTTATTTATTTATATGAGAGTAGGAAGTTTTTTAAAACATAAATCCTACTGATGAAAGAAAAATTCAAATGTACCATTGATAATGGTTTGGTTGTGTCCCCACCCAAATCTCATCTTGAATTGTAGTTCCCATAATCCCTCTGTGTCCTTGGAGGGACCCAATGGGCGGTAATTGAATCATGAGAGTGGTTACCCTCATGTGGTTCTCATGATAGTAACTGAGTTCTCACAAGATCTGATGGTTTTATCAGGGGCTTTTTCCCCTTTACTTAGTTTTTCTCCTTCCACCCTGTGGAGAAGTTGCCTCTCTTCCCTTTCACCTTCCTCCATGGTTATGTTTCCTGAGGCCTCCCCAGCCATGCGGGACTGTGAGTCAATTAAACCTCTTTTCTTTATAACTTACCAAGGCTCAGGTATTTTTTCAGCAGTGTGAGAATGGAATAATACACATGTGAAATTTAAACACATTTTATTTTAACTTATTGTAACACATCTTAGTAATTGTTTAGGAAGACAATGCTAGCTGATTTCCTTAGACAAGAGAAAGATATAGGTTCCTCATTATTTTTTTAAGATTCTCCTGTGCTTCCTAATGAATAGCTGACAACTTGGACACAAGTATGTAAAAACTTTTTAGCCATTTTTGGAAGGATTTCTTTTTGTTTTGTTTTGTTTTCTTTTTTGTTAGAGATGGTGTGTCACTCTCTTGCCCAGCCTGGAGTGCAGTGTTGCAATCATAGCTCACTGAAGCCTTAACCTCCCAGGCTCAAGTGATCCACCCATCTCAGTCTCCTGGATGGCTGGGACTACCAGTGCACACCATCATGCCCAGCTAATTAAAAAAAAATTTTTTTTGTAGAAACACAGTCTCCCTATGCTGCTCAGGCTGGTCTTGAACTCCTGACCTCAAGGGATCCTTTTGCCTCAGCCTTCCAAAATGCTAAGATTACAGGCATGAGCCACAGTACCTAGCCAGAAGAATATCTTTTTGCAAGCATTATGTATCATCTGACTTATTGTACAAATATATTTTCCAGCTTTTTTTGTGGGAGGGTGTTGCTACTTGATTCTCTTTTTTCATTAGGTACATACCTTTGATGGGATATTTGTTCTCATCTGAACTTTTATTCTGTAACTGTCTGGCTTCCATGCTTTTATTAAAAAAAAAAAAAATCTCACTTTTTTTTTTTCTGGTTCCTGCTCTTCTTATTTTTCTTTGCCTTCTTCATCACCACCACCAGGGATCATTGCCTTAATAATGTTTAGTAGGGCTTTTTATTTCCTTCCCAGTCTGTAAGGTATTGTTTTTTCAGCAATGGATGAAAAGTCCTGACATTCTGATTGGGACTTGTATTAGTCCGCTCTCACACTGCTATAAAAATACTACCTGAGATTGTGTAATTTATAAAGGAAAGATGTTTAATTAACTCATATTTCTACATGGCTGGGAAGGCCTCAGGAAACTTACAATCATGGCAGAAGGCAAAGGGGAAGCAAGCTGGGACCTTCTCACGTGGCTGCTGCAGGAGAGAGAGCAATGAGGAGCGAAGGGGTAAGAGTTCCTGATAAAACAATAGGATCTCCTGAGAACTCACTCACTATCACAAGAACAGCATGGGGAAACTGCACCCATGATCCAGTCACCTCTCACCAGGTCTCTCCCTAGACATGTGGGGATTATGGGGATTACAATTCAAAATAAGATTTGGGTGGGGACTCAGCCAAACCATTGCAGGACTTAACTGTTCTGTCTATGTTACTGACACCTGCCCAGCACTGTGACCACTCATGCCTCATGCACTGAGGAGGGAATTGAGGACTTCTAAGGTCTCTTACAGACAAAAGGAGTTGTAACTGTTTATAAAGCACTTTGCTAATACATTGTGCTGCAGAAATAATAAATATGAATAATTATTATTGACAGTGGTGACTGGCCATTATTATCTCTTCATTTCTGGTGATTTCTCATGCAAATGCTATTTTAGCTTAAATTTTTCATCGCTGAATCCAATGAGTCTAAACAGAGTAAAGGAAATACACCTATTTCTAGCAGTTTTAAACAAGTGGTGACCCTTGTGTTCAATCAGTTGGTTTATAGAGACTCACTCATTTTTAATAAATTGGCTTTACTTTTTTCTATTTTATTTTACACTTGAATACAGTAGGTTTACTATTTAACTACAAATGCATCCGTGTTCTCTCATACTCAAGTTAGTCTCAATCCTAGACATTATAGTCCTAGTTCTACTGCAAACTATCATGTATGAGAAGAGTATAAAATATTAAATATTATACATTTTAGCCAAGTTCCCAATTCTATCATTCTTATAGCAGCATAGTTTATACATAATTACGCATATTTTAAATAAAAGATACAAGGAATTGAACTGTCTTCATGCCAGATAAGAGACAATGGTTTAAAAATGAACAAAAAAACTCTAGTTTAATCACTTTGACTATGTTTCTACACGATTTGAGAGTTCTTAGCAATTCCTTTTCCTCTATTTCTTCATTTCTATAATCCAGAGAATACTTAAGCCAGCTTTTTTGTATATATGCAACATATGTAGAAAAAATTGTACATGCAAATATATACCAATATTCATATTACTATTATCGTTTGGTGAACAAATCACCACTATACAATGTCCTGAATGACATGTTGTATATTCCATCAAATGCTTACCACAATCCAGGGCTAAGAAAATGTACAATTACATATACAGGCTGGCGAGAGTTTAAAACTCCAATAAGTTCTTATCATGTTCAAACAAAAGTACTGATTTAACATTCCAGGTTTTGATGTCAGAAGTAAATTACAGAGCAGAATCATGCTTTTTTTGTATAAGAAATGGCATACTTAAATCACAAAAATAGTATTTACTGTTTCATACTGAATAAGGAATATGACATCACAAGGGATCAATAAAAATACTTTTTACACTTCATAAGAAGATAAACTCTCTAAAATAAATGAACGCGCCTCAAGGCCTAGAGGAATTTAGGCTGGATCTAAAAACAAACTAAACTCTTAGCATATAAAAATTCCAGCAAAATCCATGATTATGTTTCATAAGATTAATATTAAGATTCATACTTTAAAAAATCATAATCAAAAAAATATTCAAATATTTACTAAGTGCTACTAAAATTTCTGCTATACACCTTTACTTAGAACTTACATAAGTCATATATATGATTTTTTAAATTTAACAAATACTCACTATTTAACACATTTTAGTTCTCAGATGCTATATATAATGAGTAAAATATGCTTTTATTTTCTACTACCCATACCTTACCACCTCGTATACCAAGAATTATCTGAGCATCTTGCTGGTCTTGTGTTTTGCTTGTTTATACTGCACATTTCTATTTAGACAGAATAATATAAGAATAAGAAGTGTTTGTGTCTGAACTGAAAAATGATAAGAAAACAAGCTGATAAATTATTTGCAAATATCTTTCTTCAAGTTTCATAAGCCTTTTCAAGTAATAAGGACCAGAAGCTTCCACAGCATCAGTTCATTATTAGCACTGCTATGAAATGGTTTTATAACCTTCAGCAGAATTTGAGGGTTTCTAGTGAGAATTTCTTCTTATTGCAGAACAAATTGCATCTCTTATGGTTACTGTACATTTGCAAATGATGAGCCATCAGAAAAAAAACCTGGAAAAGTGATGCAACTGGTAGCTTGCATAATTTTTTTAAATGGATAATTTGAATTATTTACTGAATCTAGGTCATGTGAGTCACTTCCACTTCACAGATAAGTTGAAAGTCCTACAGTGAAGAAATAGGTACTTAATTAGTGGGTGAAGGATTTTTAAAACAAGATGAGACATCAAGTTTGTTTCTTCCTCTTAATTTGGCCAACTGTATTAGAGAAAGACTAATGAAATAAAATGTGACAAAGCCCAGTGTCAAAAAAAAGTAAACACCTTAATAGCCAATTAATACTAGTTCAGGCATACCACATAAACTAGAGACCAAGGGCTTGGATGTGAGGATAAGAATTTCAGAGATTCATTTAGTCATCTAGACATATATTTTATGTTTCCATCTATAGCCAGGTACTATACATGACACCTAGAATGTAATAGTGCAACTGAAAACTTATACCTTGTTCTTACAGAGTTTACAAACTGGTTGAAGAGGCAGATGATAAAGAGATAAACCAATCAATAAATATTTAACTTAATTAAAAGGAGTACTATGAAGGTAGACATTTTTATACTGTGTTAGAGATTAAGAGAAAAAACATACCTGGAGAGAAAGGTTAAGAAAAAAAAAAGGATGCTTTCAGAAAGTAATGTCTAATCTGAGTCTAAACTGATAAAAAGGAGATAGCATGCAAAGGCCAGCAGAAAGCATTCCAGGTGAAAATATAAAAAGCACATTGTCTCTGGGAAGAGCTTTGTGTGTTTGAGGAATTGACGTTTAGGCAACATATGCTGAATTTTGGCAGCAATGAGGGGTGTGTTTTTAAATAAATTTGAATGTATAGGATCTAAATAATAAAGAAATTTTAGGCTATAGTTAAGAATTTGGAATTGTTTACAGAGAAGTGAAATATTTAGGGCTACAGAAGGATAGACTAATAACTCTGGATGTTTTGCTAAGGACAGAATACAGTTGGGTAAAGTGGAAGCAGAATGATCAGCAAATAGGCCATTGTCATTTGTCCAGGCAGAAAGGGATCTATTTTTCTAATTATTCCCCTTCCCTGTCTCCCCTCCCACTTCTCCTATCTCCCCTAAAGATGTTTTTCCTGTTTTAAAGACATAACCCAGCTCTCAAATAACTTAACTGACTTCTCGGTGTTTCAATCTATCCTTTGAGGTGAGTAGGACTGACCCCATTCTGTGTTATCAGAGTTTTCAGCATCAGGATACCTTTCTTAGCAGTCATAGTGAGAGTAGGAAATGGTCCTTGTAAGCATGGGAAACAGAGCCACTGAGGCAGTCAGTTAACATCTGCTGGAAAATGAGATTTGAGTTGCGAGATGAAGTTAAAACATCAATTTTACCTATCAGTGACATTAGTACTGAAATCTTGTAAAACTTACGATCTGAAATTAACCTTTCATTGTTACTGTTTGTGGTGTTCATTGAAAAAGCTAGGTGGAATACTGAAGTTAATATCTTTAACTTAATGTGTATAAACATTCTGACAGAAAAAAATAAA